AGGAAGGGTGAGAGGACAGTCCTGTGGGGCCCAGTTGTTGCTGACCACCGTTCAGACACCACCAGGTTGATGTAGGCGGTTACCATACTGTGGGTCTGCCGTCAGGGTAGTCATAACAATCCCAGGAACCACGGATCGGGGGGGCCTCACCTGCATCACAAGGTCTCTTCTCACCCAGTAGAGCCGGACGGATGGTGTTGAAAAGCAGCTGAGGAAGTCAAAGAACATGACTCTCACAGTGCTCGCGGCTTGTCCAGGATGAGTGTAGACTCTGTTCAGCAGGTAGATGATGCTGTCCTCAACTCCCAGGCGGGGCTGGTAGGCGAACTGTAGTGGATCAGTGAAGGGCCTGACCATAGGCCTTAGCTGCTCCAGGACGAGCCTCTCCAGGGTCTTCATAATATTCTGAGTCAGATATTTAGAGGCAGATCCTCTGTCCCCATTATGTGTTTCATCCTCATTATTTAGTTCCTGATTCATAATCAGATCCCTCACTCCATTCCGATTCTTGGTCCATATAACCCACAGCCAATGATGATTTTTCTTCATATCTTCAGCAAATAGGTGTACAGATAGTTCAGACCAGATCTGGGATGTGTTGCGTTCTTAATTTGAGAAAGGACCTTAAAGGAAGTATAGTCTTCAACTTATTTTATTTGACAGAATAAGTAAATAACACAGCTGGGGGTCCGATCTGCTTCACTCGAAAGGTCCGCAGGATCAGGCACCAGAAGCACAGTCTGCTCCCTCTTTTTATGAGTTTGTTATTCTGGGTGTCATCCTTTCTGATTAGTACATGTGTCACTATTTTTATTGGTCTTTATTTTGGCAGAGGCAGTTTCTTTGTATAATTCTGCAATGACTACTGTCCACACTCTGCCAATCACCTCCCATGGTTGAGGTGCTAAGATTTAATCAAAAAATGACAAAAGGTGCGCTTACTTACAGTGGGTGCTTCCCCAGTTTATTGATTATTTAATTTAATTTTTAGTAAATGACTAAGGCTCATTGTGTTTCTTATATTAGAGAGACTATTCTAAAACCTGTAGACAAAGGCCACCAAGATAAACAGGAAGGACCTGTGATTGTGTCAGCAGAATATTTTCCTGCACAATGCCTGTTTTTCCACACCCAGTATAACAAACCCTTTTCACATATGTTTTACTGTACAAATATCTCACAGAAGATCAAGCTGTATCTCTGTTTGTTATGTTAAAACTTGTCATTGTTCTGACAACAATTTTTTTCCCTCTGCCACTGCCCATTGGTCTTTCCTCTGTGTCCTTTTTTTACTCTTCCCATTGTCTTCAAATAGTCCCAAGCCTAGGGAAAGGGGAAAAGGGAAAAGCTAAAACCTTGAATTAAAAATGTGTATGCCAATGATAATTATATGTTTTACATGTGCTTGAAAACCTGGGGTAAAAGTTGAGGTGTATGAAGGCTATTATCTATATCCATATCTATATCAATATCCCTAATTTATTATGTCAGTGATATTTCAACCCATGGCTAAAGACTGGAGCACTTCATGTGTCTTTCTTTTTCTATGCTATTTATAAAATAATACATTTGTGTGGCTCTTAAATTGACAAACATTTTATTTAATTAATTATGCACAACTTAAATTTTAAATAAACATTTCTGAACAGCTATAAAGGCATAGTTCTACAAACTATGTTAATCACTACAATGAAAAGACAAATAAAGATAAAAAGATTATTTACATATAACCAAGGAAAGATTGCAGTGGTAAACTGGCAAAGCTATCCGAAGGCAGAAAAATTGCAAAGTACTCCAAAGGCAAATCTCCATCATGGTTCTGCATCTCATCACTGCAGGTGGAGCTTAATTGACAGGGGCTCCTGATTGGATGGTGACATAAAAGGCAGAGAGGTCACTTTGGGGTGATCAGTTAGTTGCCATGCCTACAGATGTGCCACACACTTTATTTCTGCAACAGGTTGGTCAAGTCTGTATGTTTTAAATATGCTATATATCAACTAAATAAACATCACCAGGAGGGTGCAAATAATGTGTACATTACAATAGTATAATAGTTGAGTTATTGATTATTTATCCAAATAAAAAATCCCCAAAAATATAAAAAAGTGTTTTATTGATATAATAACAGTTGTAGTATCACCAGGAGGGTGCAAATGATGTGTACAGTGAGTTATTGATGCTGGAAGTGCGAATCTCTGCTCTGGACCTGGACCCGACGTAAATGTTTACATGTTGTCTATTTACTGGGAGTTTTACTTCAAAACACAAGTTATTATAATATATCCCAAAAAACATTGTAATATAAATAAACACAATGCTATTGGTCAGTGTTCAAGTGACCGAGAAGCTCATGGATATACAGGCTGATTAATACAGAGAGCAAGGCACTAAAGATGAAACAAGCCAGACTCGTCTCAGTTAGACCATTAGTACTTCCCTACAGCCACCAGAGGGCGACAAACAGCCACAGCAGCGACCGCAGGGATTCAGCGGGGCTGCATGAGCCCTGCTGCCCTTCATAAAAACTGGGTCCCGCAGTGTTCCTGTGTTATGTGATGTGATATTGAGATGTCCACAGTTGGGTGTTAGGTGTTAACAGAGACTAAAGTAGACTAAAGCCCACTAACACCCTTAGATCACACATTAGGATATCTTTGCGCCACCTTTTGGCAGATGTGCGGAACAACAACATGTGCTGGTTCAGATAATTTCACTTTCTGTTCCGCTGAACTGAGACGAAACTCCAGATCGATTTTCTGCCAGTGAATCATCATTCAGTTTTTTGGCGATGGACAAGAAAGAAGCAACGCGAACCTGCGGCCAATGGTAAGAGTTAACTTCACGTGGTAACGTTAGCACCAAATTACATTATAAAATGTGTTTATTTACGGTTGTTTTGATCATTGGCGACAGAACATACTGCATGTAGGACGTAAACCAATATGGAAGTTATATAAATAGGTGTGAATCACAGTTCGGCATAGCTCGACTTTTAACAGGAGGGTTGTCAGTATAATTGAGACCGAGAAACTGTCACTTAACACAACATTTGTAATAAGCTGGAAATCCTAACATTGTATCAGTCAATATCTGATATATATATATCATATCTGGCCATATGATATTGTCATGTTTTAATGGATCTCTTTATAAAGTAATTTCATGTACATGTGAGGGGTCATTAGTCAGGTCAGGGGTTGAGTCAAGGTAGTTTGGGTTAGGAAGCAGGGCGTTAAACCGGTCAGCAGACCATGACAACACAAGCAACCGTTCACTTTCACTTTCCTTTGATAAGCACTGTCACTGAAGGAGAAAGGTCCTTTAGTGGGAAGCATCTGGTTCATATGTTAGTTTGGACTGAGATCTTGTTCCCAATGCAAGAACACCTTCTAGTATGTTTGCTGGTCATGATTTCTAAAAACTTAATACATGTAAAAAAAAAAAACTCTCAAGTGTGTGGAGTAGTCCTGTAACAAAGGTCATAGAGTCCAATGATCCTTCATCTTACTGTGGCAAATCTGAGGTTTTACTGCATGACAATCCTTCCCTTTTTGTCAGCCACAAAGAGGTTGCAGATGCCAACTTCGCTCTGCACGAAACCCACTGCAGCCGCTTCCTGTGTCTCTGTCCTGACTGTGATGAATCAGTTCCCAGAGAGCAACTGGACCAGCACCGAGAGGAACAACACACCCAGGTATACACACAAACACACACACACACACAATGTTGTATTCTCTGGGCATGCTGGACAGTTGGAGGTGCTGAGAGAAAGTCTGTCAATATATTGATGTCACACTAAATGCAGAATGCATACAGTTGATGGTTTTTGTATTCATTTGAATGGCCAGTATAATTTATAGCCTATTTAATAGTTATCAACAACGTTTTATACATTTGTAGCAGATAAAACTAATTAAAAAACAAAACTACCCTACACACCAGTGTGCACGTGTAAATCCCAGTAAAAAAGGACAAAGTTTAAACAGTTTTATGAACTAATGGTTTTTATTATGCCAGACTTTAGGGGGTGCTGCAGCCCCCTCAGCACCCATTGTATTCCAGCACCCATGGTATTCTCTGTAGGTTTACTGTTTGTTTGCAGGTGAGATGCTCCAAGTGTAACCAGAAGATGCAACGCTGTTACCTTGCAGATCATGAGGTAAGTCCATTAGTACTGTTGGCAAACCATTAAGCAATAACATCAGCATAGAATATGCAAATATCCAGTTTTACCCCATAACCTAATTCCTGTCAAGGTGGAGAAGCCTCCAGAAGAGATTTGTAGTAAAAGTTAAATGCAACATATGCCCCTGGGAGCTCTATTAATCAGTCTGACTGTGTCTCCCAGTCTGATGAGTGTGTGGAGCGTCTGCAGAGCTGTAAGTTCTGCGAGCTGGAGATGCCGTGGAAGGGTCTGGATGAACACTGTCTGGTCTGCGGGAGTCGCACCGAGCTGTGCAGGGACTGCGGCCGCTACGTCACGCTGAGGGACCTGCCCGAGCACGGCTTGACCTGCTCAGATACTGACAATGGCTCCCGTCCTCCTCAAACTACCAGCAAACTACCAGCAAACAACAGTAAGGGGATGTAGGCTTTGAAGCTGACGCACAAACCACCAGTTAACTTCCACAATAGCTTTTTTTAAATTTAAAGATCACCATGTCTGTTCTCTTAAACTGTCACTGAGCCTGTTTTCTTTTCACAGCAAAAATAACAGTGATGTGTAACAGATGCATGGCGTCGTTTCCAGCTGAACAAATAAACGAACATGAGGTATATATATGTTTCTTTACGTTTTATGGGAACAATTCCTCATTTCTAACAACTTTCCACAATTGTGTTTATTTAAAAGCAACTATAATTGATGATATTATAATAACAACGGATCAAATGTCAAGGTGAAAATAATGTAAGTGTTAAAGTGGTCACTCGTAGTGAGGAATCTGCAGAGAATTATCAGCTTTTTAGTGAGTTGAGAAAGTGATCTTTCTTAGCTGTGGCTACAAATTCAAATGCTGAAATTGCTAAGCTAATGTAACAGTAGCACAAGTGTGTAAGAGTCATTAAGTTAGCCAACTGACTCAGTAATGTTAGCTATACAGCAATATGCACCTAAGGTGTGCTAACTTTAGCTAACTTTAGCCACTGTAAGCTACTGGTCATACCAGACCAAGTACGGCTTATGAATTCAACTTCATTTAGAAAAAAAGAATGGGTTCTTTCTTCTCTTATAAGTGTCATAGTCCCTGTAAGTAAAACCTTTGTCTGTATCCCTCAAACCAGCTGGACTGTGTTCCAGAAACCAGGTCTGACGATGAAGAGGATGAGCCAGAGAAGGAAGAATGGGAGCATGAGGGTGATTTCTCCACTCCCTGGCTAAGTAGAACCTACAAGTCAACCACCCTGCTAGACAGAGCCAGCAATGGTCCCTGGGGTGATGGAGGTGACCCAGACCAGATCAGCACCTGCCCCCACTGTCATCTGGCCCTGCCCCTCCGCACACTAAGTTGGCATAAGGTAACACTCATGAACAACATTTTTTATACATTGTTGAAAAGTTCCTGTGCTAAGAGGTTCCCCCTCCTCCTCTGTGTTTTTAGTTGAAGTGCCAAATCCACATTGTCCTGAAATAAAGAGAGAGATCCTCCGAATGGAAGAGCTGCTTCAGAGATCAATGTGTCATTAGCAAAGAGACGGAAGAAACATATCTGGGATGTTGAAATGTAATTGTATTATTTAGCTTTATTTAGCTTTTTTATACTTAAATGAAGGTTTACATTTTCTTTTTAGTTTTAGTTAGTGTGTGCATGACTGGGGAGGAAATGCTCTATCTAAGTAAAGGTGACACTCGTGATGGCTTTGTAATGTTTTCTTTGTTAGATACCAACACCGCTACTGAACTGAAATGCTAATTGCTTCTGTCTAAACCAGAGAAAACTTTAGATGTTTGGAGTCAGAAACATCATGTTGATCAATTTCCACAGAATCGGATTAAAGTCTGTTAAATTCTCCATTAACATTAAAGGTTTACATGTCGAAGTCTGAAATTCATTCATTACAAATCCACATGAACATACTACTACTATACAGAAGCAAGTTGCTTTGACATATTCACACTATCTCACATGGTGAACGCTCGAGTTTTTTTGGGAACTGTGTATGAAGTTTGTGTGTAATAGTATAGTAGTTTAATAGTATAGCCTTTGAGGTATAATGTATTATAAACTATGAAATATAATTAAATTATCTATATTTAATTCAAAATTAAATATTCGGAAGTAAGTGTTTCTTATTGAAGTGTCAGATTTCCGTCGTGAAAATTCAGACACTCTAAAAGAAATTAAGGAAGACATTAGAGTGGCAAATAATAGGATTATGTCGAGGGGCGGATAAAGGAAGCTGAGGAGTGTTTGTTGAGGATGCTACACTTGAACTCCTGGAGGGAAAACGTCAGGATTCACGGGGTGAAGGAGGGAGCGGAGGACAATGCCACGTCGATGATTGATTTTATTAAGAATCTCCTGAGAGAACAGTTGGAGTTGCCTCCATCACTTCACCTCCAGATCGTGAGAGCCCACCGGGCGCTAGTGTCACGGCCCCCTCCGGATTCCCCACCGAGATCCATCGTGGTAAGATTCATGAGTTTTAGAAGCAAAGAAGAGATAATAAAGATAGCATGGCAGAAAAGAGGCTTCGTGTACGAGGAGAAGAAGGTGTTTCTGGACCATGACTACGCTCTGGAGGTATTGAGGAAGCGGAAGGAGTATGCAGAGGCAAAGAAAGTTTTGAAGGAGAAGAAAATACGCTTCCAAACACCGTTCCCGGCGAAACTACGGGTGTTTTACGAGGGAGAAATCAACATTTACAATACGGCTGAAGAGGTGACTAAGGACATGGTGAGGAGAGGGTTTCAGGTGACGGTGGTGAAACCCATGGAGAGTGGACTAGAGAGGATCAGGCGCCTAACCTGGCAGGCCAGCCAAGCTAAAACAGATTAATCATCCAAAGAGACAGAACCCGGATTTAAACTAAAACTGCAAACCTTTAGGAGGAACTAGGACAAAGAGAGATGGACTTCGGATTTAAGGACCAGGTTTGAATAGTTTCTGTGTACTGTTCTGCACATGATTAAGGTGAGGAGGAATGGACATCTATTCATTTAAGTTGTATTGGGTTACTTAACTATGCTCATTTTAAAATTGCAATTTCCTCTACATATTTTATCAAAAGTCGGGCAGGCTTTTGTTCTGCTATAACTCTTTAGTTTATTTCCTTTTGTTTTTTTCTTGGAGCTGTTGGTCACATGGACAAAGCTGACCACAGCACAGAGGGCCCACTTCCCCTAGTAGGAAGGGGACATCCTTCAGAGCAGACTTGTCATCAGGACTCAGATAGGGTCGAAACGCAGACCCCACGCAAGGACGTTTTCTCAGTGATTAGTTTTGTTTTTGTATCTTTAATGTTTAGGGCAGTTTGCCAATCTTGTAGCATAAGGGGGAAGCATAGGATGGAGGAGACGGAAAATCAGCGAATATGGCAACCCAGAAAAAATGATTAAAGATAGCATCATATAATGTAAATGGGATACTCAGCCCAATTAAAAGGTCCAAGATACTAAGTAAAATGAAGAAAGAGGGGGTGGGAGTGGCTCTACTGCAGGAGACCCACCTGACAGAGAGGGAGCATGAAAAGCTTAAAGAAATGGATTTAATCAAGTATTTTCTTCATCTTATAGAACAGGTCATAGGAGAGGAGTGGCCATAGTAATATCAGGGAAGACTATTTTTGAAAAACTTTCAGAAACATCAAACAGGGAAGGTTTAAGGGGGGTTAAGTGGAGGTTAGAAGGGAATTGGTCACTATTATCAAGGTATATGCACCCCCAGGGTCAGACTGGATATTT